AGTCGAAAGAGTTCACTTTCAATTTAATTGTACTTTTTGTTTTTAGTAGTCGCCACGCGTAAAAGTTTTACGTCGAGTTACAGCTTTTACTATACCTTCAACACCTACACCCCTATACCCTACATACAAACCAACCAGTCAAACCCTTTATACTCTACCAACCCTTACCACCCTTCTTCTCACGTTTTCCTGGACATACCATCGTATTGTGTAGCATAGCATAGCAACGATAGTTTATTTCAGGACAAGTTAATCCTCAGTTTCTGTCTTTTATTACAGGAAATTCTCTCCTCATCGTGTGTATGTTAGACGATTATACAGAAAACGACTTTTCCTTTTCGAGAATCATAAACTTCTTTTTTCTCCTATTCTCCCATAAATATGTTCACATAACTATGACGAGTTTATACGTAAGCACAAAACGTGTATTAAAAACTGTGAACATAACTCGTCAAATCTCACATTTCTTGCAAATATTTTTTACGTTTCTGAAATCATCCATTTTTCTTTTCTTTTTTCTTTTTTTTATGGTTTATTTATTTTTATATTTCTTTTTTTTTTATTATATAATTTATTGTATCATCGTTTATCTCTCTTTCCTGTTCTTCTTCTTCTACTTTTTTTTTAATTTTTTTTTTTTTTAGTTTTTCTTTCGGAATAAACCTTTCCCTGTCATCTTATTGAAAATAATATATTTTATCTTCTTTTTTTTTTGTTTTATTTTTACAGAATTTATCTCAACTATACGAAAATTCTATTCCCTTTTTGTTTAACGAATTTTTTTCTCTTTTTTTTTTCTTTTTTTTGCTAGATCGTTCCAATCACAACGAAAAAATTGATATAATTATTTCTATAATTTCTCAATAACAACAACAACAACAAAATTAGAAGAAGAAAAACAATTATTATTTATATTTTTTCTTTTTTATCAAATATCTTATCACAAATTTATTTTTTCAGATCGTTCTTAATTGTTTTAGAGAACAATGAGTTTGATCACATGTACGCACGTACATTATACGTATTAAATATATCTAGAATATACCTCATGGATAAATCGTTAATATTTAAAAATAAATAAATCAAAATACAATTTAAAAAAAAAAAATAAAAAAGATGATTAAAGAAAAAACATCGTTCGATGCGAGTCAATTGTCCGTTGTATTATCTCGAGGCTGTGGGCTAAGCGAATCGGAAATTATCAACGAATGCTTTAGCATAGTCATCGATCGTCTTTTTAATCAAATTATTATTGTAATTTATATTAATATTATAAATCGTGAAATAAAATATAGAGAGAACAGAGCAACTATACCATAATCAAAAACTAACGAACTAACGAAAAGAAAAGAAAGAACAAATACATTTTGTTTTTCTTTTTACAATAAAGTTTCTGAAATTATCGATCACTCGATCGTTCCAAGATCGATAAAAAATGTAGAATTAAAAAAAAAAAAACGTAATTTTTTGCCAAGCACTTATCGTCCCTCGTAAATATACTTAAAAATAAAAATGCATTAAAAGTCATCGTCGCGTTTCTTCGAAATACGTAATTGTAAATATTTTACTCAAACTTACTTAAAATTCCTTCTCAAAAACAATTGTTATATTTACAAAAAAAAAAAAGAAAAAAACAATAAAAAAAATACATTCGTTTTTTTTTCGACACCCACACACACACACACACACATACACAAATACGCATACATAATTTACATAGAAAACTAATAAAAATTATTTACATACAAAATACAATAAATACGTACAGATATTTTTGTTCGAACAAACAATAAAATAATATAGAGAAGGAAAATCAAAAAATAATAAAATTAAAAATTATTAATATTAATACTAATAATAATAAAAAAAAAAATATATGAAATAAATAAATAATAAGGAAAAGGTTTAGGGCAAATCTTTTGTAACTGCGTTTATAGTTAGGCTGCTCGTATTTAATAAGAAGTCCAGAATTAAATTTAAATAAATATACAAAAAATATATAGGAAAACAAAAACAAAAAAAACAAGAAAAATACAGAAAAAAAAAGGAATAGAAATAAGAGAAAGAAGTATGTGTGTATGTATGTGTGTGTGTGAGAGAGAGAGAGAGAGAAGATGAAAAGAAGATGTTAATATATATTATAAAATTTATATGTTGCAATTATATCGGTGAGAGTACGTCGGAAACTGGAATTCCCATGCGAGATGATTGGTCCACGAAGAAATATGTTTAAAAAAAAAAAGTAAAAAAGGACGAAGAAGAAGAAGAAGAAGATAAACATAAAAGAAGATAATAGAAAATAGAAGATAATAATGATCGATAAAATAAATTCATATAAAATATTTCAAAGGTTGAATTCGCATTTCCGACGATTTTGGGTAGGCTAGGGATTATAAATAAATAAATAAATAAATAAACAAAAAAAAAGGAAGAAAATTGTTGTAATAAGAACCATGTATACATACATATGCGTTATATATAGATATATATATATATATAT